GGGGGGGGGCGCTCGATCCCGCTCCCCCAGCAGGGAAAGGATGTCTGGGGCAGCCATGGCCAGAATGCTGGGCCAAACTGGGCCTTCCCTCGGTGCCCACAGGCCTGGGCAGCCCACCAGGGCAGCTCAAGATAGACTGTCTCTGTCGCTGGGAGTTCTGCTGAGGCATGGGGCTCTCAGGAGAGAGGTTGCCCCCACCCTCAAGAGATGGTCAAGCTGGAGAGAGAGAGAGAGAGAGAGAGAGAGAGAGAGAGAGAGAGAGAGAGAGGCCTTGCTTCTTTCTTTACTTACAAAGCAATCAGAGACAATTTTGCAGCATTACATAAGTGGAGGCAGCTTCCAAGCTAAACTTTCGGCTGTGGGAAACCTCTGGAGGAGAGGGAGGAGGGAGCCCCCCCACCTTTCTTTCCCTGAGACATTTCCTAATTCTCAAAATGCTAACTGGCAAAGCATCCCCCCCCCCTCGCAACTCCTTTCCTTAAATTTTCTGTCCTAGACTTTTCCCAGGTCTTCTGGACTGCAAACCCCATCATTGCCAATAGGAATGTTACTCTGATCTTCTTTTTGGCAACCGTTTTCTGCACAGTGTCCTCCATATGGACTTCATCCTTGTTTTTCGTAAAGGAGCTTTGCCTCCGTGCTGCATCTAGTAGGGGCAGCTTTTCCCAGAGGAATCCTGGGAGACCCGAAGCAGGTTTGGCCGCCAAGGGGGGCATTTCAAGTGGGGCAGATGGGCGGCTTGGCATCTGCAGCAGGAGAAGAGGGCGAAGGCTGGGCCAGGAAGACGTTGCCAAACCGGTTTGTGTCTCTCGGGTTCCCTGCAGGGATCAACTGGGTGCTTCTTTGTGGTTCTTTTTCTGGTGCCAGCAGGAAAGCCGCCTTGGGGGGGGGAGGAGGGAGGGGCTCCTAGCCTGGGACCCCACCCACGTACTCTGCATCGGAGTTAAAGATTATCGGGGCGGTTTGGCCCTGGGACAAGAGAACGGAAAAACCTGCTTTATGAATATTCAAAGTAAAAGAAAGTCCACTGGGGGATTCGGCTCTTTCATCGCTTCTCCTATGTTGGGGGGGGGGGGCAGGAAAGGCTTAAGCAGCATCCTCTTCCTATGTGGTTATTTTGCAGGGAAGAAAGAAGCCGAAGGGCCTCTCCCTGCAGTTCCCTGGCTTCTAAAACGGGCTGCTTCCAATTCTGAGGTTTCACTAGAGTTACTTCTCCTCCACCATGTAAGAAGAGAAGCCTCCATGCCCCGCAGCAGTCTACCTGAGTATTAAAAGCTGTGGGAGATGCAACCTGCTTGCAGACCCTGAAGGGGAGAGGGTCATGGAGGCTGGGTTAGCAAACCACAGCACCGATGCCCGCTGTGAGGCAGCTGCCTGCCGGGGGGGCTCTCTGGGATGCTGGAAGGGCGTTTCCAAGCCTCTTCCTCACCTTAAAAGGTAGGAACTGGTGCGCTTTTTGACTCACACATCTCGGAGCCTGAAATAGGAGGGGGCAGGGCGGGACAAGGCCCCGAAGACACCCCCCCCAGCACAAATGGCGTTTCCCTCATCTCCCCTCCAGTGGGCTGCCCCACGGAGCAGACTGGGCACCTAATGGGGTAGGGCCTGTGGGGAAGAGGCACGTGCTCCTGTGTGCAACTGGGGGAATGTGCCTGTCCTCTGGACGCCACACCTGGTTGTGCCTCTGACACTTGCCCTTTTTAAAGCCCCAGAGGACCCTGCCCGGCCTCCTGCCAACGCTTTGAAATGCTGGAGATCAGCTTCACGGAGGGGGGGGCATTGCTGGTGACCCAGCCTGCTTGCTTGGAATTTATCCAGAATTTAAGGATTTATCCTGGTTGCCCAAAGAGCAGATATACCTGCTTTCCCACTGAATAGTTTCTTGCTTGTCCTCTGGCTTTAGATTTCACCCTTTCCCCCCCCCCCCCGCTGGGCTGGGGCTCCTGTGAAGGTGCCAAGTGTGATTTCATTGCCTCCCTCCACGGAAAGGTCTGGAACGAGACAATGAGTGAGCCTGGCATTGTATCCCCCGTGTTTTAAAGAAAATGTACTTAATGGGTTCCTTTCTTCATTGAATGCTGGAGAGAGGATTAAGAGTTTAGCTGGGAATGGGGGGGGCACAAGATGGGCAATGCGGGATCAGACTCATTGGCGTCCCAAGGGACAGACCTTTCCTTCCCTGGCTCCAAACTCAGAAGGGCTGGTCCTGCAAAGTGCCACCGAGCTGTTGGGGGGCTAGTAATGGTCCTGATGTGCACCTCCCTCAGGGTAGCTGATGGGCAGAGACCTCTGCCCCACCCCCTTCTAGGGAAGCCAGCAGGGCTCTGTGTATGTCCTGGCACAGCTGCCCATTTCGGGAGCCCTCTCCTTGGAGAAGTGGCCCAAGGCCAGTTCTGCTTGCATGGAGTGGTTTTAATTGGCCATTCCTCCTGGGATCATCACCAGAGTAACTGCTAGGGAACACAAATATTGCAGAAGTATGAAGTCTCTGGCAACCCCCTGAGAGAGGATCCAGAGGAGGAGGAGGAGGAGGAGGAGGAGGAGGAGGAGGGATCCTGAGCTCCCGCCTTGTAGAGGCCACTAGCCTGCTGTTGAGATTGCCAGGAGAGAAAACACACACACACTCTCTCTCTTGGGTGTGCATTGACTTCTCTGAGTAGCCATGTTTTATCTTCCGAGGGAAGAATGTTCTCCTTCAGAATCCAGGGAGGGCCAGCTCAGCTGATGTGGGGGAGGACCGTCTCCCATCTTCCCAGCACTGGGTGGTACATTTCCCCCTTAAAGGATGAGGCTCTCCGGGTGCCCAGGTGAAGTGCCGGCCTCAGGGCAGGAGGCAGACCCTCACCCGGTGACTTCCAGCCCACGGCTTCCGGCTTCCACGCATGCCCTTCCTCTTCCCTCTGCCAGCTTCCCCGGATGGCGAAGCGCTCCAGAACAGGCCACCTGCTGATGCTGCTGAGTGTCTCTGGCAAAAGCTTGCCGCCAACTCAGTGCCATTTCCGCGCGAGAGAAGTGAAAGTGGTGGGTGGGTGGGAGGAGGTGACTCAGTCCCTGCCTGCATTTGGGGCTTGAATTCCAGGGCTCTGCCATTATAATAAATTGCGATACTCAGTTATTTCCTCTAGCCTGGATTGCTCTGATTCACCAATGGCCGAATAATTGAGGCAACCTGGAAGGGCTGCATTGCCTTCAGCCCCAGAGTCTTCTGTTCCGACCTCTGCATGGTTCCCCACCCAGATCTGGCTAATCTCGGCTGTGGAGGCTGTGGAGGGAAGGGAGAAGACTCGGCTGCCGTAATGCAGCAGCTGAGAAATGCTTTGCAGAATATGGGTGGGCTCCATGCATTGCTAGCGAAGTGTCTCCAGGGCAATTATTTATTTATTTATTTATTTATTTATTTATTTGACTTATATGCCGCCCTTCTCCCCACAGGACTCAGGGCGGCTCACAGCATATTAAAACCATACAAATTAAACGCCAAGGGGGGCGAGTGGCAGAGTGCAGAATCCACAGATTATTGTCAGACCAGCAGAAAACACAACTTGCTGGCCTCTTTGGGCTGGGAATGGCCAAGGGGGAAAACACACATTGTGGGAAAACACACATCGGTGTGACGATTGGGGTCCAAGGAATGTAGCTGACATCCAGATTTAGAAGACCAAAGAGGCTAATTCTGCAGTTCCTTCTTCCTCTCTTTCAAAACCTCTCAGAACGTTGTCAAACATTCCAGTTCTTTGCCTGGAACGCATCGGCTCTAAATTGTGGACCAACCGGTGCAGCTCTGGGGTGAGCGGGTCAGTCCCCCTGAGGGTTTGGGGCTGGGATGTCTGGGCCTTGAGGCTGGGCTCTAGCAAGGGTGGGAGCGCTGGCAGTCCAGTTGGACATTCAAGGCTCCCTGGGTTAAGCAGAGGGGGTACCAGGCAGGGAAGGTGACCGACTGGCTGTCCAGCGTGAAGATATAGGGAGGGGGATTGGAGGGAGAACAGCCAAGAACAGCTTTTGGAGAAGCTGCCCCAGAGTTAGAAACTGGGAGAAAATCCGCAGGGTTCAAGGACGGGAGAGGAGCCTTGATGCAGAAAACGAAGTCTGCACAGGAAGAGAGAGGGTCCGGCCGGGGGGGGGGGAACCTGGCAGGACCCTCCAAGGGCAGCAGGGCCTGCCAGTCACAGTGGCAGACCCAAAAGAGGTGAGAACAAACACGGGGGAGTCTAAAGAACGGAAATATGGCAGCCTTTGCTCATTGGTCTCAATGCTGCAGAGCGACCTGGGGGTCCCTAACTCTTCCTGAAGTCTGGGAGGGTCTTCCAGTCTGGGGCAGAGGAGAGGGAGGCACACACCCGCCCCCCGCAGGAAGCCTCCTTGCCGGAAGCCGAAAACCTGCTGCCGCATTGTGGGGTTGATTTTGATTTGTTGCCTGCTGGATGGAGCTGTCTGAGGACTCATCAAGTTGCTGCTTGTAGCACAGGACTCAGCCCCGAGTCTCGCCCCACAAATTTCCCCACCTGGAGCTGTAAATAATTGGGAGGCTTGAAAATATTTAGCCTCAGCTCTGCCAGATTCTGACTAAGGCGGGTTTCCTGTGTGTGTCTAGGCTAATACGTGTGTACTGTAGATAATGGAAGTTCGGCCAATTGTTGTTTTGCTCCATGCAGCAAAAGCCAAAGTCATAAAAGCGTCCTTTGCCTGCCCTCCCCCTCCCCAATTCCTAAGGCATGTGGAAAGAGCCCCGGTGGGAGAAGACCCTTTGTTGTTGTCGTGTCTGACCCATCGCGACCCCATGGACAACGTTGCTCCAGGCCTTCCTGTCCTCTACCATCTTCTGGAGTCCATTTAAGTTCACGCCTCCTGCTTCAGGGACTCCATCCAGCCACTTCATTCTCTGTCGTCCCCTTCTTCTCTTGCCCTCCATCTTTCCCACCATTAGGCTCTTCTCCAGTGACTCCTTCCTTCTCATTAGGTGGCCAAAGGACTTGAGTTTCAACTTCAGGATCTGGCCTTCTAAAGAGCAGTCGGGGTTGATCTCCTCCAGGACTGACCGGTTTGATCACCTTGCAGTCCAGGGGACTCGCAGAAGACCCTTACTGATGTTTCTATCACCCTTTTTTCCCTCCTCCTCCTTCTCCTGTTCAGTATGGGATAGTGCTGGACGCAGGGTCTTCCCACACGGCCATGTTTGTCTACAAATGGCCGTCGGACAAGGAGAACGAGACCGGGATTGTCAGCCAGCACAGCGACTGCCACGTGAAGGGTAAGCAGAATCCGGGCTCTGCATCCCCTGCCCCCTCCCCTTGCTGATTGTGGGAGGGGGCTGTTTGTCCTTCCGGGAAAAGGAGTTTGCGGTTGGAGTCCCCGAAATGTTGTTGAAAGCCCTGGACGGGTGTCGCTTCATCCCTAGAGCCGGGGGAGGCCAGACCCAGGGAGGGTTTCCCTTCCTCTCCCCAGTCCGGAGCCTCTTCTTGGCCTGCCACAACTTGGGGTGCATCCAGGTCAGGGGTGGTCCTGGAAGAGCCCACCTGGGCACTCTTGTTGAGGAGCAGAGGGCCTGGGTGGTCCTGTGCCCGGGGCAGCTGGAGGTCAGGGTGACTTAGAGCTGGCATGAGCCTCGCTGCCAGCTGAGGTTTCCATTCTGCATTTTGTGCGTTGGTGCTGGCAGAAGAACGGCGTCTGGGCAGCCTCTCCCTTTCTTCTTTTGTTCCCTTTCTTTTTTTCCCATGGGCATCGGACAAAGAGCTGTGCGGCTCACCTGGTTTAAGGCTGTGGCGGGGCCAGAGGAAAGAGAGATTTGTGGGTTCCTCTGGGAGGGAGGAGTGCTTGGGCACGGCCTGGCAGGGGGCCAGGGGCTCCTCAAAGGGCATGTGAGGACATTAGCTGCCCCAGGTGGGGCTCATGCCAAGGCCTGGACCCAGTGCCACCCTGGCTCTTTGTTGTGCAGCTGGCAAGGGTTGAGGGGAGAGCCTCTGCAGCAGAGCAGTCTTCCCCAGCCTGGCCTTTTCCAGATGTTTGGGACTGAATTCCCACCACATCTGGAGAGCAGGAGAAGGCAGTGCCAGGGAAAAAAACTCAGCAAATCCTCCCAGGTTTCTGTTAGGTGCTGAAATACTTTCCTCCCTTCTATGCCTGGCGAGATGCTCCCCCCACCCCATTGGGCATGCCGGGCAGGTCCACCCTCGCCCCAGAGGGGGATCCCGCTGGCCAGGGACTCAGGGCGGATGGATCTTGCAGGGGAAGGCATCTCAAAGTACTCCACGAACCCACCGGCAGCCGGGGAAAGCTTGATAGCCTGCCTTGACCAGGCCCTGGAGGACGTCCCGAAGGCGAGGCACGCCATCACGCCCCTCTACCTGGGCGCCACGGCTGGCATGCGGCTGCTGAAGTAAGTCTTGGTGGGCTTCCAGCCCCAATGGGGAGACCCCGTTTCCCGGGCTCAGAGGGGCCGAGGTTGGCCATCCTGTCCCCTTCTCAAGCTTGCTAAGGTAGTGGTGCCCACTTGGTAATGGCTGGGGCAATTCCTCCCGTCCACTCTTCTCTTGGGGCAGAACCGATTCAACCGAGTCAGCCCCGGTTCAAGCCATCAAGTGTTTCATTATGTGTGTGTGTGTGTGTGTGTGTGTGTAGCATTTCTAACCCCCAGGCTTCAGGCAGCGTCCTTGAAGCGGTGACCTCCACATTGAAGAAATACCCCTTTGACTTCCGGGGAGCCAGGATTCTGAGTGGGGAGGATGAAGGTTTATTCGGGTGGGTCACCGCTAACTACCTCCTGGAGAACTTCGTAAAGGTAGAACCGACCGGCTTCTCCCCCGTCCTGTGCCTTGCCATTAATCGGGGGGGTCTTTGCAAAATGGAAAGTGTCTTGTTTACTGTGATTGGCCGGTCTTGCTCTGACGTCACTGCAAGATCGCAGCCTGATTGGCCACTGGTTTAGCTTCATGATGTCACAGAAGGCCTCCTTCTCTTCCCAGTACGGGTGGATCGGGCAGTGGATCCGTCCCAAGAAGACCACGGTGGGGGCCATGGACCTGGGCGGCGCCTCCACCCAGATCACCTTCGAGACCACGGGGGCCATCGAGAGCCCCGCCAACGAGGTGACACTGAAGCTGTACGGGCAACGCTACAAAGTCTACACGCACAGCTACCTCTGCTACGGCATGAATGAGGTCCTCAACAGGCTGATCTCCAAGGTGCTGAAGGTACGGCCGGGGCAGGAGCCGCCGGGGTGCGGTTGTGGTGCCGACATGCTGGGACTGAGAAGCAGGGAGCGAGGGTCCGGTTTTATAGGGCCCCTCAGCTGGGATTGGCTCCTGCAGGTCAGCCGACAGAATGTTCCCAAAGGTGGGTGCTGCAAGGGGCCCCCTGAACTACCATGGAGGGAAAGGGGCCTGTCCACCATCTTGCTGATGGCGGATACCGAGTGTGTGTGTGCGTGGGGGGGGGTTGCCCCTCTCTTCTGCTTAACCAGCCCCTTCCCTATATTTTTCCCTGCACAGGCTAAAGCTTACGCCCTCCGACTGGAGAACCCCTGCTGGCCACAGGGATTCAAACACAGTTTCCCCATGGAAAGCATCTATGGGTCGCCCTGCGCCAGCACCGAGAAGCCCCTCAACTACTTCCCCACGGCCACGGTGAACATGAGCGGCTCCGGGGACCCTGCCCAGTGCATGGCGCACGCAGAGAGCCTCTTCCGGTTCACCGGCTGCACGTATTCCAGCTGCTCCTTTGACGGGGTCTTCCAGCCCCCCGTGGAGGGAAACTTTATCGTGAGTCTCGCTGAGGGTTGGGCCTGGGGGGGTCTGAAGCAATGAAGTTATGGGTGCTCCGTCACTGGAGGGTTTCAGAAAGAGACCGGACAACCATTTGTCTGAAATGGTGTAGGGTCTCTTGCTCGAGCAGGGGGTTGGACTAGAAGACCTCTGAGGTCCCTTCCAACTCTTGTTATTCTGTTAAATCTTTTCTCCTGGCAGGGATGGAACGCTACTGCCCCCCTGTGGGAGGAGAGTGGCACGACACCCCTTTTCCGTTTGGGGCAGGGTGTGCTCTTAATGGATTGGTTGATTCCCTGCTTTGCTTCCCTTCCGCTTCCACCTGTGTCAGCTGGGGGGACTTTACAGCGTTTCTGCACTTTTTTAAAGTGGCGTCTCCCTCAAATATGATTCATGCCTGTGGCAGCAATCCAGAAGTGGGGTGCCCTGTTGCTTTATGAATTCTTGTACCACTGCCAAAGTTTCAGCTACGATACCCCCCCCCCCATGGTCCTGGGGATGGACTGAATTTTTAAGAGAACTCAGTTTGGGTTGGCAATTGCCACTCCTTCCCCTTATGAAATAGAGGTGACACACATTATCCTATATATTTGACTGTCTGTTTAAAAATGTGTTGTATTGGCCCCATTGGTCATATCACTTTAAGGATCTTGAGTGAATTTCTTTCTTTCTTTCTTTCTTTTTCTCTCTTTCTTTCTTTCTTTCTTTCTTTCTTTCCTTTCTTTTTTTCTTTCTTTCTTTTTTTCTTTCTTTCTTTCTTTCTTTCTTTCTTTCTTTCTTTCTTTCTTCTCCTCCTCCCTCTTCCCTTAAAGGCCTTCTCTGCATTTTTCTACACGGTGGATTTCCTCCGGTCAGTGATGAAAAGGCAGGTAGCCACACCGAATGACCTCAAAGATGCTACGGAAGCCCTCTGCAGCACGCCCTGGAGTGAGGTGGGTTTGTCCCTCTGGACTTTCCTTCACTGATGCAACCAGGGCCAAATTCAGCTTTGTGTGTCATGTAAACATCAGGAGTTTCCCCCCCCCCCAGAACCTACACCCAAAGTCCTTTTTAAAAAATGGGCTCGCGCTTGAATTGAAATGGGGAGTGCTGTGGTTTATGAGTAGGACAAGAGATGGTAGCTTCAGGGAGGTCGGCTGCCACCTCCAAACCAGGTCTACCTCACAAGTCTGTCGTGAGAATTAAAAAGGGGAAGAGGGAAGCATGGAGATTTCCTTCAGATCAAAGAAGGAAATGAAAGGAGTGCCGTTTCTTTCTGCCCCTCCAGCTGCTCAAGAAGGCACCGAAGCTGGAGCTCCATTTGCAGAACTACTGCTCGATGGCCACCTTCGTCTCCCTGCTCCTCAGCCGGGGCTACTCCTTCGGCAACACCACCTTCCCCAGCGTATCTTTCCAGAAGAAGGTAAAGCTCTCCCGGTGGCTTTGAGAGCGGGAAGCACGGAGGCCCAACAGGCCTGGGGAGGGCAGGTGTCCTGCAGTCGCTGTGGGTCGGCTGTGGGCCCTGAGAGCAGCAGCTTCCGGATTGGGGCTTGCAAGCCGAGGCTCAAGACTGGCTATGATGGAGTCTTTGTGCAATTGTGGGTTTTCCCTTTTGCAGGCCGGGGACACGACCATCGGCTGGGCTCTGGGCTACATGCTGAACCTCACCAACATGATCCCGGCGGAGGAGGCCGGCTTCCGGAAGGGCACCAGCTTCGGCCCCTGGGTGGGCCTCATCTTCCTCTTTGTCGCCATCCTCCTGGGCAGCTTAATCAGCCTTTTCTGCCTGCTGAAGGCCTCCAAGGGGCACGGGGGCGTCTAGCCCCTGTGGGAGCCCTGACCTCGTCTGGGGCATAGGATACTAGTTCTCTTCGGTCCCGCCTTCTCTGGCCTCGCGCACCGGGAACGCCAGCGCTTTGCCAAAACTCAGGAAAGAAGAAATTGGCAGCCCACCCCGTTTCCTGCCTCCTTTTTCCTTCCCGGAGGTGCCACCGTGAGGGCCCCACCTTCAAGGAAAAGGTGCTGCCATGGGCAAGGGAAGCATCTGGAGACCTCCAGGCCTTCCATTCTTCCTGCTCAATCAATCAATCAATCAAGGGCCCATCCTAAACTCTTGACCCAGCAAGACGCCGCCTCCACCCCAGGGCAAACAACCCTGGGAGGAAATATCCTCATGCATCTCTGTAACTATGGACGTCAGAAGGTGTGACCATCCCCGGGATCTTACTGCCTCCTCTCAGCAGACACCAGCCGCCTTCAAAAACTGAGGTCCTCAAAAAGCAAATGGGTTTGTCCAAAAAGTGTACTACGGAAACTTTAATTGGGCCCAATTCCCACTGGACTCAAGTCCTTCACTGGGGGGTGGGGGGGCTCCCATCACTTAGCCAAATTGGTCCAGATGAGCTTAAGACTTTGTGGAGAGCTCTTTGAGGCAGCCACGAGGATGTCTGAGTGTGACCCACAAGGGCGGGAATTATAGAAACTAATTGTTATTGTTTGTAAATAAAAACCCAGATAACATGCTGTTTACCAAATATTAAGGTGATTGTTAAAAAAATTAATAAAATATATTTAAAAAAATATACCTAAATACTGTCAGGCGCAATAATTAAATTCAGTGGAGAGATGCCCAAGTTAGACAGTTCCTGCATAATCTTTGGGGCACAGAGGCTGCAAAACTGAAATGGCCTATTCTTTTACCTAGGAATAAATCACCCAGTAGCGAGTAAAAGGTTGCCCTGGTGACAGCTGTTTCCTGCCCCACCCCACTTATGGAATGTCCACACGTGTGTGAATTTGGGTAACTGTTTTTATTTTAATGGCAGATCGTTGTGTAATATAAAAAGCTACACTGTCCAGGATTTGGGATTATTTTTTTTGTATTCTTTACCTTGACAGTGCAACAGTATTAAATTCTCCCATAGTTGGCTTCTGCAAAAAGAAATATTTTCTGGGTAGGCAGAAAAATGCCTCTAGCACTGCAAACCGGGGAGATAGGAAAGACGGGGATGTGACGGGAAGGGTAGAATTCTTAAAGAAAACGAAGTTGGGAGGTTACTGCTGTTGGCACCCTGTTCCCCACCTCCTGTTTTTCCCGTTTTGATACTCAGTTCCTACCAGCGTGTATTTCCTTGTGCTTTTATACGTCTGGCCCTTGTCTGGCCCTTGACTGTATTCGGCCTGTTTTCCGTGTAAAGAAAAGAAAGTGATGTTTGCCTTAAAGAAATTATAATAAAAGCTGGCTTAGCGATCGACCGGGTTGATCCCTTTTACTGGGAAGCTTTTGACCTCTTTGTGGAACCATCATGCAGTGCCCGAAGGTGCCCTGGTTGATCCTGGTTTGTGCTGCCTCTTGTGCCACACATCTGGATTGCTGCGCTGAGCAGGGCTGGCTCGCTGAGTGCCAGGTCTGTCTCTGCCAGCTGTTCTCCTTAATCAGGGCAGGATAAAAGCCCCTATCAAGTCCGATCTCCTCTTGGGCACAGCAAAAACTGTCCCGCCGTTGAAGAAGCCGCCTCGGGCCACACCGCCTTCCTCCCGAACGCCGAACGCCGCTCCGGGGATTACTTGCAGCTTCAGATGCGGGGCTGAGCGGCTCTTTGGCCCATCCACTTCAGACAGCAGCTGCAGGAAGGCCGGGGCTGAGACGGGGGGGAAGGGCGCGCGGAGACCCGGAGGCCAGAGCTGGCACGGCGGGCGCGCGTCCTTGGGAAGCGGGGCGCCCGTTGGGCTCTTCCGTGGTTCCCCCCAGGCCGGCCGCTCTCCCCGCCGCTTTCCTCCTGCGCGCCCCGCAGAGCCGGGCCGGAGTCTCCTGGCGGGCGCCGAGCG